GGGGGGTGCTGTGTGTTGTTCCACTTGCTGCTGTTTTTGTAGTTGCAGCTGCTGTTACTTTTTTGGGGGGGAGGGGGGTTGTTTTTTATGGGTTTTTTGTTCCTTAAAAATGCTCAATATGAATTACGGTCAAGTCAAAGAGATACCACATTATGAAATAACTTGACGGGTGTATGTGTAGAACATATTGCTATATGTATAGATACATACTTGTTTATGTACTTGTACAAACATAATTGTCTGATAAAAAACTTACCTAGTTTTACGTGTTCTGTGTGTTGTTTCAACTCTAAGAAGGAACTTTTCCTTCTTCCATTTTTAATTGTAACACTAACTTAGAACTTTTCCATGTTCTGTGTGTTGTTTAAACTCTAAGATAGAACTTTTCCATGTTCTGTGTGTTGTTTCAACTCTAAGATAGAACTTTTCCAGGTTCTGTGTGTTGTTTCAACTCTAAGATGGTCATTTTTCTGTTGCAGTGTGTTCCTTTAACAATTAGACGGGACTTTCCTTTGTCCTGTGTGTTATTTTTACCCTTAAACGGTACTTTTCCTTATACTGTATGTTAGTTATTTCCACAGTAAGACGTTACTTTCCTTTGTCCTGTGTGTTAGTAATTTCCACCCTGAACATAACTTTCCTATGTCCTGTGTGTTAGTAATTTCCACCCTGAACATAACTTTCCTTTGTCCTGTGTGTGGGTAATTTCCAGACTGAACATAACTTTCCTATGTCCTGTCGGTGGTTAGCGGGTGCTCTCGTGTGGGTTGCTTCTTCTTTCCTGTCAAAAACTATCATCTATGACCTTATTGTGTTGCAAGGACTGTAAAACTTGTGACTACAACTAACTAAAACTTTGCCTCGTGTGTGTGTGGTTCAGGTCGCCAGCGCTGGAGCGGCATGACCCGCAGCAACAAAGAGGTGGAGACTCAGTACAACGGCGTTGTGGAGAACCTGGGGCTATCCTCTGAGACCGGGGAGCCCACCTACTTTGTCTCTGCCCGTGAGTAGTCCGTCTGCTGGGTTGTCCAGTTTTACTGCCAACTTATTTCTCTTATTTTATATGATTTTTTTTTTTAAACTTTACTTTTCCGATCCAGCGGCCATTTGGGTTCTAGCCCTTCGGCCTATCGATGTGGCAAATAATTTACAGGTTTTAAATCAGCTGTGTTTTGTCGCTGTAAAAAGTATTTCCGGTGTCTGGAGAGGCAGGTAGGTAGGTGCTACAAAGGTCGCTAAGTGCAGGGCAGGTAAAGACGTGGTGTGATAGTGTTTCATCCTGTTTTCTACAATAGAAATGGAATAGAATGTGAACAAAATCCTGATGTAGTGGAGTCCACTGAAACCGAAATCTGGGTGTTGTTTGCCGGAGGTTCTTCAGTTCAGTCAAGTTTTCAGTTTAGATAGGTTGTAGGTTGTTCAAATAGATGAGAAAGAAAAATCGGGATATTTCATTTTCTCTTGGTTTACCGCCATTTTCGGATAAAATCGTGTTCGCTGTAAGTGGACTTTATTGTTACAGTTGTTTTTACGTGGATTTTTTTTTTTTCAAACGATAAGAAGGTGAAAAGAACAAGTATTATTCTCAGCATTTATTTTCTGTTGAACTGTCTCTTTGTTTGAAAAAGTCATTTGATAAATTTTCAGGTTATGTTTACTTTTACAATTCACACCCGCACTGTTCCTGAGATGTCGATCGTTCAAAAAGTCCAAAGAAAGAAAAATGTCTCTACTTTTGCTTAAAATCCTCTTTTTTGGTCATATCTGATCGGACTATCTACCTCAACCTCATGTATTTCTCTTTAAGTTAAAACCTAAACCTTTTTCACAGGTGGTTGGTGGGTGCTCTGGTTTACCCCTTTTTTCCTGTCAAACATCTATCGTCCTTATCTCTCTTCCTTCTTTTCTTTGTATGTTACTCTCTTGTAACACGTCTAATCTTTGGCTATTATATGACCTTATTGTGTTTCAATATCATGCCAGAACACGTCTGCTGGGACATTTCAGTGACTCACCTTCAGCCCTTTTTAAGTACCCCCGAGTGACTGTTGAGTTCCTGCGTGCTGTCGGCATCGCTGACCACTTATGACGTCTCAGTGCCATAAGGGAGAGAGAGAGAGAGAGAGATGTAAAACTTTAATTGAAACTAAAACTAATCCTTTTTTCCACTCCTCAGCTCAATACCACGGCGACCAGCGACTGAGCTACAACCAGTTTCTGACCTTTGACCTGCGCATCGGCGAGGAGACGGCCCGCCCGTCTGTGGTGGACATCATCCTGGAAGGTTCCGGAAAGTCCATCTCCACGCATATCTTCGCCCAGGGCAACCCCGTGCCTGATGTGACTGTCCAGACGTTCGCCTTCAGACTCCACGAGAACCCAGAGTACCAGTGGTCGCCCCGCCTCAACCCCGTCGACTTTATCGGACTTCTGGCCAACGTGACCGCTGTCAAGATACGGGCTACGTACAACGATCAAGGTAAAGGTCGTGGTTTGTGTGTGTGTGTGTG